CTTTCCCTAAGTTCCTGATCCATAAAATACGAACAATACTTCATTGGGCTGGCCAGTCTATTTAGATTATAAATTCTGTAGGATGGAGCCTGTTTTATTTTATGCACTGTCTCTAGCATAGTGGTTCTCAACCTTGTTAGGCTCAAGGCACCACTCAGAAATAACAAGCACTCTGGTTGAGAATCACTAGTCTAGCATAAGGAGACTCTTATTTTTCAGTTGGAGTCTCTAGATACTACTGCAATACAAATTAATATTAAAGCAAAGCAAGTAGCTGGGTGATGAGCCATTTTATAAGTCAAATGATTGTGAATAAAAATGTCTCCATTCCTCTTATGTCTATCATTATGCCTGAATTTTTCTTAAAAACAGAAACTTGATTTAAAATTTCACTGGTAAAATGGCTAGATGTCCTTAGTGTAGCACTGAAACCAAGTGGTAAGTTGAAAGGGGTTTTTGTTATGTAGCCTTATTTTTTTCTATCTGTGATCTTTGTATCCCTAGGAAATATAAAAAGTAATACAGTTTAACCTCATAAATTTGGCGTCCTTGGGACCTAGCAGCTGCCAAAAATTTTTAAATTCTAGATTTTTGAATGAGTGAGGCTGAGGATAGGGAAGGGGCAGGAGGAGGTGTGCAGTGCAGCCCAGCAGCTGTAGGCAAGTGGTGTTGGCTGCTCCCGGGGCTGCAGCAGGGAGCAAAGCGGAGAGAACTGTCAGCGGGCGCGGGGTGGAAGGGCACAGCTCTTGTTGCTATGCACACCCCAGGAGGGCTGCGAGCTGGGGGGCTACATCGGGCTGTTCCTGGGGGATGCATGCCTCCAGATTTGCATGCCAGATGGCTAGAACCAGCGGCAGCACCAGGTTCTTCCTGGCACTTGGGGCAGGTGGCAGCCTGTTCTCATCTGGCCCAGAGATCCTGGGGCACGTGTCCCCCAGGAAGAGCCTAGCACAGCCCCACAGCCTTCCTGGGGTGTGTGTAGCAGCAAGAGCCGTGCTCCGCACCTACACCCACTTACAGTTCCCTTTGCTTTGCTCCCTGCTGCAGCCCTGGGAGCAGCTGACGCCACCTGCCTGCAGTGCCGGATTTTTGAGAATTCTGGAATTTTGAGTGCCGGATTTATGAGGTTACTAGCCAATGATTCTTCAAGAATGAAGGGGGAGGGGAGGGAGGAAGCTGGAATGGAGTGCTGCCACCTAATGGCCCATGCTGCCGCTCTTCTGCCTCTTGTAGGGAGCGGTGTGGGGGAACTGAGGCCAGCGCTCCTGGCCCTAGCTCTCCAACTCTCTTTCCAGTCCTCAGCGGGGCTTTTAGATCATGGTGGCGTTCCCCCATGCTTGGAGCACTCTGATTTGACTGTTTCCGTGAGCCAGTCAAAGCGTGAATAAAGCGTCATAGACAGATAGACAGACTTAGGCTCTTATAATATTAGAATACTGTAGTTGGATGTTACTATGCTACATTTAACATATTGTTAATACGAGAACATCTTTGTACATAGTTGTTTACAAAAGAAAGCAGAAGCTTTATGTGTGTTAACTGGTTAATGCTGTATTCAAAAGTAATTAATGTTTTTGTGAAGTATGTACAGTATAGAAGGGTGCGCTGCTGTACCTAAGTGTTTTCCACTTCAAAGATATTTGAGCTGCTTTTGTGGCTTAAACCATACCCAACAAGCTTTAAGATAGAAAATCAATTTTGGAAAAAAAACTTTTGCTTCTAGAAAACTGCAGTGTTACCAAGCAAGCTGTTGTTGTTTTTCATCTATTCCAGGGCCCTGTCCCAGAGAACAAAGGAGAGTTTGGTTTGCAGATGGTATTTTGCCCAATGGTGAAGTTGCAGATACAACCAAACTGTCATCTGGGGTCAAGAGGTCTTCACAAGATCAGAGTCCGGTAAACTCTGACTTACCAGAGACACATACGGTATGGACTCAAAAGTCTGCATTGATTCATGAGTTTGAAAAAAGTTGATTTATCTTTAAATAGCTTTCTTAGCTAGTTTATACCTGAGCTCTCATAAAAGCAATATTTTGTGATTTTTGATTTTTTGCAAATGCCAAAGGGTTTAGGGTGGCTATTCAGTTTTAATGGTAAGGTTGTGAGCAAGAACTATTCTAATAGAAACCATGTAAATGAAAGTTGGGTGTACAGTGTGCCAAATCTTCAGTGAAATCTAAATTTTGTAGTAAAATATTTATAATTCAGGTTCCTTTGTATATAGTTGACTTCTGTGAGAAGTGTCTAAAGCCAGCATTATGAAGCTTGTCTTTATTAACAAGTTGATAGCTGATGTTCCCACTGATTTTCTTTTTTGTTTCGTGATTAGATATGGTTTTCTATTACCAAAGGCAAAATGAACCTGGTCTTACTAGAAGAAAGCCAGTGTCCTAAAAAAGCTTTTCCCTGTAAGGGAAAGACATAAAGTACAGATATCAGTTGGTTAAGTCATGAGCTATTTATTGACCCAGAAGCTCAAGAAAGCATTCTCATACCTGGACATAATTTCCACTTTTTGTGTAATTCTAATACTTAGTCTCTCTCATTTTGTCCCTATGTTATGTCTCTTGCTAGCTGTAACCAGAAAACATTCTAGAAGTAATAAGAGGAAGTCCATGGAAAGAACTGGTTCACTACCGGTGTTGAGGGAAGGTTAATTAGAGAAGCTGATAAGAAGGCTGAAGTGTCTAATGACTCTTTCATTCTTTACCAAAAGTGTTTATTGCGTCAAAGAGAATGACACAATCAGCAGCAAGCCCTTGGGAGTATGAACTCAGGCTAAAATAGAGAGAAAAGTAGATAGCTGTGTTCATCTAAAATCAGGCAGAAAGCAAGATAGAGGTGTATCTTAGGCTAGGTACACCTCTACTGTG